CCCCCAAAACCCCAAAACCCCAACAATCGAATATCTTTTAAATTTAAAGAAATTATTATGTTGAAACTAATCAATAGGACTTTTAAATTCAATAAATACATAATAATCTTAATATAATTGAGGAAAAGCTAACTTTATCTTATAACTTCAACTAGTCCGTTCACTCCTTGATGGAAATGTTATACATTTGATAGAACTAATCTACCTTTTCAATACCTTAATCTCTTAAATAAGTTTTTGCTTTCTTTGCAATCATAACCCATTCATCTTCTTAATCATTAAATTTTTCTTTCAATATAAACAATGCCAAAATAGTCAACAGCACTTATTTATAAAGATTTTTATCATTGATCAATTATGTAATATCTCTTTCAAGATCATCATAGCTGAGTTCCAATTTCCAGCAGATGATTAACCATTAATTAAACTATCTAGTTTTGAAACTATTTTCTCAGGCTTTTAGCTTAAAGCAGCTGATTAAGGTCTAGAGATGGCTGCACTGCTTTTTTATTTCAATTCTTCCTTCTTTTCATTCTTGTGAGCATTCTGAAAGTTAGAACTAGTATTTTTCTAACTTATCATTGAGGATTAGCTTGACTATGATTATTTTAAACTCCTTTTTGAGCTCATCTGCAACGCATAACTCTCAGAATCTTAATCGAGATGTGATTACATTATCACCCTTTTTTTATTCGCATTTCTAAGTCGATTGGGTTTCTTTAGGGTTTTCATATCAGCTATAGAAGAAGAACATTCCATTGCACTCATGAGCTATACTTAATTTCTCTTTAACCTTCTTGACTAATCATTACCAATATTTGATGTTCTTGAGCTCTTTAACGAACAAAATTTAGATTAGTAAACGACAGAGGGTTCATTAATTGAGATAGCCGGAATTCTTACCAACTTTAATTCTCCTCTATGTTTCTCAAATTGCTACATTATACCAATAAAAGCGGATTCTTAGGCAAGGACTTAATACATCAGAGACAATAAAAGTATTTCTGGTATATCCTTTTAAGTATCCTAAGAGTCTCTTATATTTTACATAGCTGATTTCGCAGCAAGTTTAAATATTTCTTCACCTGGAGGAAGCATTTTAAAGTTCTCTCTAGTAAATATATGCTATATTGGTTCATTTTTAATTGGATCATTATCGCATATAAATGATGCTTTGAATTCCTCAAATTGATCACTTTTCATTATCAGATATTAGCTTGTAATTTCATTTCTGAATGCCTCTCCCACTAAGCCTCCGATAGGTGATTGAATTTCTAGC